TATATATATATATTTAAAAAGTTTAAAAACAAAAAAGCGGTGGTTAGCCTTTAAAATTTATTATGAACTAAAAGTTCATAAATCTAGTTTTTACTTCAGCAATTCAATGATTTATTAAATGTGCTGGTTTTAGGTTTTAAAGTGCTATTAAGCTCTTGGTGGCGCTGTTTCTGCCCGGTGAGTTAAAATAAAGTTAATTTTATTTATTCCACATTTATCTTTTTAGAAAAGAGCGAAAAAGTATTAAGTGTGAGGAAGGGTTTTTAAAATAAATGGAATTTATTTTATAGGAATCACTTAAGATAACAGAATAGACTTTTTTTGAAACTAAGGAGTATTTTTTCAGTTAAAAAAAGAGTGGATTGAATCCTTAAAATTAACAAATAAAAATTTATAAAGAAAAATAATCATTAGAGTGACTCTATAATTTTTAAAACGTTGAATCATATTAGCGAACATCACCAAAATATTTTATACTTAAAATCAGTAAGAATCAGATATTAATGCATCTAAATCAGATCAGCTAATCTATCTAATCAGATATTAATGTATAAAAATTTTAATATTCATTAAAATGTGCATGATAGTTAAATTTTCAAACTAAATATTAGAAGAAACATGCAATGTTTTACAAGTTTCTTACTATTTTGAATTACTGGGGTAAAGAAATTACATTTCCTTTTTTAAAATATATAGTTATAATTCAAATTAATTTGCGATCACTTTTTTATATTCCATAAAATATTTAATTTTTACATTCCTTTTGTATATTTAAAATTCATAGATCAATTAAAGAATCGTTTACGTTGGTTAGCGATGATGTTAGATTCAAGTTATCTTACTTTGCTAAAGGGAGATACTCTTTTGAGTGGTAGCCAACAAATTTACAAATAAAATTTTTTAGTGGCGGCCAACATTTGAAATTACATATTTATTTCAAAAAATTTACAATCAACAAATTTATGAAAAAAAATTTTTTTTTCAATTGAAAAAAAATATTTTTAAAATTACCCTTTTTTTATGAAAAAAATTATTTTAAAGAAAAATTTATGTATTTATTTACTTATTATTTTTTTGTGGAATCCTAAGTTTTGTTCGGCGGAACCATGATTATGCATTTATTTGTATGTGTGAACATATTAATCAACGAATGACTGTTAATTATGATGACAATATTTAATGTGGAGAATGAAGCCATGGTGGCCTAGGAGATAAAACGTTCGCCTGAAGTGAACCGGTTTCGAATCCCAGCGACGACGGGTTAATATGAATTCCGCACCCGGCTCGCACCGACTACAATGTTGACGTAAAATATCCTCAGTGGTAGACGGATCATGGGTTAGAGTTCCTTTATCGTCTTACTAACCTCGGAAGGTTTTCGTGGTTTCCCTCTCCTTTTAACGCGAATGTGGGTTAGTTCTATTATGTTCTTCAGGAAGGCAAATTTCTCCCACTTTTTGATCCAGGAGTTCCCTTTTCTTCTGGATTGGGTTCAAAATTCTGAGGATATGGAGTTTAACTTTAGTAGTCGTAAATTCAAAATTGGGCCAGCTGTTCAACGGGGGTTATAAAATAAAATAAAATGTGGAGAACGAAATATTTTCATTGATTGATCAATAATAGTCCTAAAACTAGATTTTATGTCATGTAGTTAAATTCCCAGGTGATCTGAATTTTTTATTGATGTATCCAAAAGCTGGAAATGAATTAAATAAGCTGAATTATGGTTTTCAAAAAATAATTGTTATAAGCGTTGAAAATGGTGATCAGGAAACAAACACCTTTAATTTAGTTATTTTCTTTTTTAACTGAAAATTTCGTGACCAAAATGGATTTTCTTTTTACAAATGCTTAACCTTTTTATACTGAATGGGATACCTGTAAGTGACGTAGAGTGGGAATCTCGATCCCGATTGGTTGTCGAAGCGCAATATTTGTTTACGTTAGCAACTGTTCTCTCCATTCTATTTCGAGTAAGCCAAGCTCGTCAAGTATCAATTTTTTTAAGTGGCACATTCTATATTCTTACACAAAGATTTCAATTCCTTCGCTTCATATTTCTTGTCTCGTAGCTTCAAACTGTTAATCGTATTCATTTGCATTTGATTTCATAAGATTTTCCGGAAAAATGCATGGGAAATAATACATCATTTGTCTAAATAGCACTGACTTATTCGCAAATAGGTGCAAATCAAATATTGTGGAAGTACATAGGTACAAGTTATACTTTTTATATTAAATATCACCGGAGCTTCTATTGTCTAGATAGAAATATTTAACTTTTTACACTATTTCCCCTCTCTATTAAAACCTGACAGATGAGGTTATGTCACTTTTGATCTTTTACTAAGAGGAAGGGGCTTAATACTTTGTCATTGAGTAGAATTTCATTTTCTATTGCAGGGTTGAAACTTCATTTTTACTGTATTAATGGTTTATGTGTGAAATTTTTGTAATTCCTTTATTTTAATTTCTAGTCTGAATTGATTTCTACAAAAGGCTATCCTGTTGAAAATCACATTGTTCAAACAGAAGACGGTTTTTTACTCTCAGTGCAGAGAATACCATACGGACTATTGAATAAAAAAGCTGGTAATAGGAAACCAGTTCTCTTACAGCATGGATTTTTAGGATCTTCTTCAGACTGGGTAATTAATTTTCCCCATCAGAGTTTAGGTAATTTCCTATTTGTAGTATTTCTTATTTCATTATAAGTTGGAAAATGCAATATTTCATTTTAAAAAAAATAATGTAAAATTTTATTTGTTGCAAAATATATCTTCGTCTTATTATCATATTCCTACTGGTCTGACGCGACGAATAAACCATTGACTTTAAGCATATCGATGACAAGCAGAAAAGACGAGTAGATTTCTTTTCTCTTCTGAGTCCAAGATATGTTTGAGAGTGGCCTGATGAAGCTGGCATTTAGGACAAAGGGGAAAGGTTTTCATCCCACCAGAGAATTTTAGACATTTCAGGTGACCTTCTAGCTAGGCGCGATAGGCAGGTTTGGGTAGATCTGTCTCCCGAAAAGGAAAGAGAGATTCCTGGTTCATTGACCATGTGCCTATTGTCGGTGGAAAGCAGTAGCCAGTCTTTTTTAACAGAAGATTGTCTGATAGAATAAAGTTCCGTAAATGTTAGTTTAGTGGTATTAGAGATCTGTTGACAGCAACCTTCTTTGGCGAGTTAGTCAGCTATTTCGTTGCATGTGATGGCAACCAGTGTAGGGGCATATCGTGATTTTGCGAAATGGGTTTTAGGTTATTATAGATAGAAATACTTGTGTGGTCATCAATATTTAAACGGTCTTTAAGATGCTGGAGTGCAATGCTGCTATCCGTCAAGATCCATACGTCTTTGAAGTTGTTCTCTTTAGTGATCACCTCAAGTTGATCTTCAATTGCAAAAAGTTCACATCTGAAGACAGAGCAAAAGTTGGAAAAGAGAAATTTTGCGCTGAGGTGTTTCTACGTAAATACCACTCCTTGCTGAGTGTTCAATTTTACTACCATCAGTTCAGATCTTAATATCTGACTTAGAAATCTTTTAAATGACTTCCAAAGCCAATTGCTTGAGATGATCTGGGATGAAGTGTTTTTTATTTACAGGAAGTGTGAAATGAAGGTAGAAGTGAACACCGGGTAGGTAGGTAGGTCGCACTAGAGCTGCACAATGGGCTATTGGCGATGGTCTGGGAAGCATCCCTGAAGATGATCCGAAGAAATGCCATCGCAATTTTTATCCTCTGCAGAGGGGATGGCTCCCCTGCTTTGGTAGCCCGACAACCTGCGTACGAAGTCGAGCACTTCACGGTAGAACAGTTTAACGAGGACTAATACCCTCGGCCGCACACACCCTACTGCACACCCTCGGTCTCTACGTAGGGTGATGAAAGTGGTCATCCATCAGTTTTCTGATCGCAGGAATGCCTATGCTTGACTTTGGTGTTCTACTGGAAACCGTGAATTTATGATCAGTCCATTGCGGGATAGTGAACACCAGGAAGTTCCACCGAAAGACTTGTGCACAATTGGAGATAATGAGATTTATATCTTCTTGGTGTAGATGTTGTTGAGATGTGACTTGACTGTAAAGGCTGTTTTTCTTTAGTCTATGGTTGTACTTCCATGACTTTAGGTACTTTGACGTGCTGGAGAACTTGTTGTAACATTTAAAGAAGTTAACAAGGGTGGTATACTCCCAAAGCAAAAATCACCCTTGGAGCATCATTTTAGGAGCATCCGTGCATAAGAATGGAGGAAGATTTGTTTATTAAATTTGTGTGAAAATATCCCTTCTCAGAGAAATCTTCCGAAGTTTATTATGCATGCATATTTATGTTCGATCACTTTAAATATAAAAATAACATTTTCCTATTGTAGCTGGGCTATTTTTTAGGCCATCAAAAAGCAGGTTTTGAGGTTTGAACCTTTCTCAATAGGGATTTGACAAATTTCGATAGAGTTTTTGTTTCTTTCTTCTTTTAAATATTAATTTCTGATCCTTAATGCATCAGGGTTTGGGAAGATTTTTAGTAACTGAAAAAAGCGTTAGCAAAAAAGTATATTTTAGTAAGTTAGTATACACCGCAACATTTAGGTGGTAAGTAGTCTTGATTTCCCCGAGAAAGTATTAATGTCCAACTTTTTATTTTGACTTTTTATAACTTATCTGAAATTTAACTTACGATTCTGAATTTGTAGTTCTTTTAAGTTTAAAAAGCTTAATTTTTTGGATTTTTAATTAAAAAAATATTCTTCAAAAAATATGAAATATTTGCCAAAAAAAGTACAAGTATGAATTTGAGCTACATGTTTATAGTGAAACTTATTACCAAGTTTCATAAATTATTACGAAGATTACAGTGGTAATCACATAGATTAATAAATAAATGTACTCTCTTCGTCCCAAATTAGTTGCTACATTTCAAGAAGGTATAATCATAAGTAATTCCCTGTGTAGTTCACTAGATCGACTCCAGCAAAAATATACCAAATGAATTCACGATTCAATAGCTAGAAAAGCGATTATCAGATATTGTTTAGTGGAACCCAGGCCTCCTGCGAAAGATTTATAGAGGTTGCGATAGTTAGGACTTTTATTTTATTTTAACCAGTAATGATTTTGAAACTAGTAATGATTTTGAAACCAGTAATGATTTTTTAGTTTGTCTTTATGAAATTATTTAAAATAAAATGTCAGTAAAAAATAAATAACAATTTTTTAATAGCATTATATCGAATAACTTGTGAAAAAGGCATGCATTTATGAGAAAAATTGCATTAGTATTTTTCATCAGGCTTTTCAAATCTCAATTTAATTTTAAAATTGCTAATAAAAAATATGTTTTTTCAATAACCATTTTACATGTCAAAGAAAACACTGATTCAATTCATTTTCATTGTTTTCAATTTGTGTATAAATATCATAAACAAATTCATTACTAATAGAGATGAGGCTCCAGTACTGCGAATGATTGATAAAACAATAAAAAAAATGTTACATATCTTAAAAGTAAAATAATCAATTGGTTATCTCATTTAGTGCTCTTTATTTACAATTTTTTACAAAAGTCAGAGTTCCATCAAAAAGGTCAATTATTTAGGGTTCCATAACCGAAAAAAATTGGGAACCGCTGAACAAGAAGAGAGGTTTAAGGGAGGAACAGTTGTTATATAGGACTGACTTGGACTCAGCCGAGAAGAAATCTACTCGTCTTCTCTGTTTATCATCGACATGCTTAAAGTCAACGGTTTATTCAGAGCATATGGGAGATCAGAAGATGGTAGGTACTTTATTTACATCGCACTAGAGCTGCACAGTGGGCTATTGGACTGGGAAACATTCCAGAGTCCAAAAACGTGCCATCACAATTTTGATCCTCTGCAGAGGGGATGGCTCCCCTGCTTTGGTAGCCCGAATACCTGCGCGCGAAGTCGAGCACTTAACGGTTGAACAGCTTAACGAGGACCGATACCGCGAAACCTCGGTCACTACGCATGCTGACAAAAGTGGTCACCCACCCGCTTACTGACAGCAACCAGTAGTGCTTGACTTCGATGTTCTACTGGGAACCGTGTGTTTACGAACAGTCCACTGCGGGACGGGTGATAAGAAGAAGATGCCGAACAGGTGCTACAAAATAGGGCGTGGCCTAAGCCAGTGCAAACACTGGATTTTTTAAACTAATTTTGTACTGATTTAGGAAGGAAAAAGGAAATGCGTGGTAAATAAATGTTGTTGATTCATAGCATAGCACACTAGAATCTCTGAATAATGCTCAAACAAAATCACGTATTCATCATTATATTTAATTAATACAAAATTATTCAAATGTTTAAACCAATTTGAAACAGAGGAAGTATTTGGTGACGAAAGAACGGGTTATCAAATTTCGGGATTAAAATAAAAGATGGAAAAAAAAAGAAATCGCAAAATTTTTTATTAAAATTTTTAAACTGCTTAAGTAACTTGTGAACCTTGCTAATGTGTGCACTTTTTGACTTAGACTTAGAGGTTGGGCAGCTCAAAAGAGCACATTGACCAAAGGTCTATTGTACCCTAAATCATGATTAACAGGAAAGCTTTATACATGAAATAAATATCAGCAAACACCTGACAGGCATGTTTTGCAGTTCTCAGGCTTTAATGCAATGCTGCCCTAAATGCTCAAATCTTTGAGCATTTAAGGCAGCATTTAGGTGTCTCCTGAGGGTGCAGTGTCCAGTGAAAAGACCAATGATCCTTCTCAAACTGTTCCTGCTTAGCTTAAGTAGCTCTTTTTGACACACATTAGGACAATCACGATTAAGCACTTTAGCTTGTCTCTGACCATTCGAGTTGCGCCATTGCTTATGGGGCAATTTTGCCATAGAGCTTGAATATAGATGCCATGAATGATGTGGCAGAGATTCCCAAGGCTGGTCCAGGTCCCCAGAAAATCGCACTGGTGCCAGCCAGTGTTGTTCGTCAGCTAGCTCATTTCCAAGAATATCCATATGTGCAGGTACCCAATGTAGGTATACCTTGTTATGAGTGGAATGGTCTCAGAGGAGCGAGAAGCACTCCCCCACTACTGAAAAGGTGAGTTTACACCTTCATACCCTCCAACTGCTACGGAATTTCCGTAGTTTCAGAAATCTTCTTTTCAGACGGTAGCAAAATTAATGTCTTAATATTTAATAAAAATTAATTTTAGCGTAACTTGTTCACTATTACTTATAAAAGTGCAGGCCATATGGCTAGATTCTTAAGTTCTGATAAAAGTTTTATGAGAGATCCATTTGCTTTAAAAATTTCTACTTTGGTTCGCTACCACTAGAAAGAATTATTTTCAAAATCCTCATAAGTTGGAGGGTATGCACCTTGATAGTGATAAGAGAGCAGCCTGACTGTCAGAACAAATGTGGATTGGTATATTTAGATATCCCCTATCTAAGCATATCTTGCAGCACAAGATGATAGCATAAACCTCATCCAGAATAACAGTGGTATAACTACCTAGAGGAAAGTGGAGTTTGGTACCATCATTAGAGCAGTAAATTTCAGGATTCTTAAGTTGTAGAATAAGCGAGTTCGCTAAGGCCCCAGTTTCAGTCATGGAACCCTAAAATATCGAAGTGTAAATATGGGAACGAAAAAACAATAAATTAATTCAGAAATGTTTGATGTGAGGGAAATTTTTCTATGTTTCATCAATAAGTCTTTAAAAGTAGGATTTATGTCAGGTAGTTGAATTTTCTAGTCTGCAGCAGTTACGTTTTTGCTGTGTAAGTTAAGTCTAGTATTTTAGACCGTATAAATTGACTCTAGTATTTTTTGCTGTATAAATTAATATTGAATGAAATACTCTCAATTATGGTTTTTGAAAAAGAACTGTTATAAACTGTAAGACTTGTTATTAGAGAAAAATAATTCTTATTCTGGAATTTGTTTATTTTATTTTGAATTTCAAATTTCGATTCGAAATACTGATGCGATAATTTTCAAAATCATATCTTTTTTAGAATTTTTCTCAATATATAGATATTGGAAAAAAATTCATTCTTTTATTTCTTTTTAATTGCAATTTTACACAAATAATTATATATAAATAACTTTAATAATGTATAAATAGTGGATTATTTTCTGGATACAAGCCTATCACAGGTTTCAAAAATCATTACTTATTAAAAGAAACTCCCAACATAAGGAACCTAGGTGTCCGCGGAAAACCAGTTGGTAACCGCTGCAGTGCGAATCGCTAATAATATTTCTTTATTACAATGAATAACTACTCTCTTTTAACACATAACTCTTAATTTAGGTTTCATACTGGCAGATTCTGGTTACGACGTTTGGCTTGGGAATACAAGGGGTAATACCTATTCCAGAAATCATATTTCTCTAGATCCCAATTGCACTGATTTTTGGAGATTCAGGTAATATTTTAACGCATTTTCTCAATAGTATATTGAAGACGGGATTTATTTACCATCTTTGCTATCATTGTTTGTACCTAGAAAGAGAAAATAAGCTGATTGTCAAGCTGAAACCTGAACCAGAGCATGATCAATCTCTGCTCCAGTACCCACAGAGGCATTGATTTGTTACGAGAACTTGAAAGATTTTGTGGAAACACTTCTAATTGTAACTCTGTATAAACAATCTTTCTTTTAGCAGCTTATGTTTGGTAAAGTTTTCAGGGAAACTATAGGCAGGATTTGAAACACTACGTTTGAAGGTCTTAGAAATGGTGTCCGTTGCAAAATTTGCAAAGGACACCGCTACCTATGCAAAATTTAGATGAAATTAAAAGATTTTTTTCTCCCTTTTTTAATACCAGTATAAATTTTGAATACATTTTATATAAATATCGTAATCCTGAAGATTGTGGCAAATCAGTTATCAACAATGTCCAAGCTGTCTGTCACAAATTACAAATCCGTCTTCAGAACTCTAAAATGGAATTCAAAGTTAAACGCCTACTCTATATCTCAATGATCCGTCCTATTTTAACTTACGCATCTCCAGCTTGGTGTAACGTCACTCTTAGAGAAACTCAAAAGATACCAGAATAAAATACTCCGAAAAATAAAGCAAGCAAGATGGTTTATCCGAAATAAGAACATGCTACGTGATCTCAGCATAGATTTTTTAGATTATCATATTGCAAAGCTAAATTGCAAATTTTTTGAAAAGATGAAAAATTGTGACACCACAGGATTTAATGAAATTTTTACTTTTGAAAACTTGAGAGGAGATATAAGCCTAGCAGCTTATTTTGTTGAAGCAAATTATTCTAAAATACAAAATATTTCATTTCCTTTTCACTCCAATTTGTATTCTAATTACCAGAAAGAGTTACCTTAAAGATGAAATTTCAAGATGGATGTGGAAAAGGGATGCCTATATAGATTTTGATGATGATTATTATCATTATTATTTAAAAGTTGCTGGAATTAAAACCATAAAGAAGATAATTTCCTCGTCTAATAAATTTTATGGTCTCTTATGAAATTTCTCTCTTTTTTTAATAGATCAGGTACAGTTCGTTCACCAAGAGATGGCACTTAGCTTCACCTCTTCGGACAAACCTCTTCGGAGGAGTTCATTTCAGTGCGGGAGTAAGAGGAAAATATCTCCGCTCTTGAAATTGAGACAACTCTTAATGCCCCCAAACACAAATAGTGAATTATTTTTTAGTCACTTACTTCGCTTTATCATCTGCTATTATACATTTCGTTACTCTCGCTAATTAAATATATTGCAGCAAAACGTCTCAAAAAGGACAAACTATTCACTCAAATGAGAGAAATATCATGAAATTTATGAAATATTTAATGTTAAAAAAATGCTCATGAAGATTGCGAAACAAATATTTTTGTCAGACGATCGCCAAATAGCAACCTTATTCAGGATTGCTCACATCCTTCTCCAAAATAGCGAAATAGTGTCTTCGGATACCACGTGATGAAGGCGGAGCCAAGTGCCAACTCCTGGTGAGCGAACTATACACAAGTCAGTGTTACAAGTGAAGTGAAGTGAAACGCTAGTTTGATAAATACAATGATATCTTAGCTACCAACAACTACGGATTGTCCATTTTCATATTTAGCGGCAATGAGATCTTATAAATTTCTTTTAATTCCTAGATCTATAAATTTAATTTAATATGATTTTGACTATCATTAAATACAAATAAATCAATCTTACATATATGAGCAAATTATGGAAACGAAAACGAGAGTAAGGCATAGCGATTGTGAAATTCATTTAGAATTAGTTCAAATATAATTCTTTCTCGTCTATGTCTTTTACTTAATTTAGATTTATTAATTTTATTATAAATGTGATATACTTTTGTTTTGTGAAAACTGGAAACTTCGTTGCGTAATTAGTTTATATTCTAAATGGCTTAGTGCCTGTCTTTATGTTAAGTAAAAAATCTATAGCGAGAGAATTAAAATCTTTGTGAAAGAATATAGAATATGTCACTTAAGAGAATTGACACTTGACGGGTTTGGTTTACTCGAAATCGAATGGATAGAGCAGTTGCTAACGGGAGCAAATGCCACGTTTCAACAACCAATCAGGATCGAGATACACACACTACGTCAATTGCTGGTATCATATTTCATTTTCACTTCGGAAATGATTGGAGAGTAAAATCTGGCAGATCTGATTATATGTTCTTAATTGGATCAACCTATACATTTTACTACCTCTTCAAAAATAATTTTGAGTAAGAGAAAAAATTGACAGGCATTCTAATGGTCATGTTTTTAAGTTACTACAGTGATGCCACATTTGACTATTAAAAGATATTAATTATTAGTTTTAATTATAGATTTAACTTATTAATTTGCCACATTCGACTCTTAAAAGATATTAATATTAATTATTAATTTTATTAACAGATATTAAAATGGGAAATTTTTTCCAGCATATTTATTTCAGTTTAATATTGAATGTGATTGCAAATGGAATTTTTTTCCGTTTAAATAAGGATAATATACAATGTATGTTATGTTTTTTTTGTCGTATGCCTGTTTAGGCAGAGGGGGTACGATTGTTCTTGTTTTCAGTGGCGCCATCTATGGCCAAGAATTCGACTTCTGCCACGCTATTCATTCAACCACAAACCCATTTATATGGCGGGTCACATTCACACACATTCACTTACACAAAGGAGAAAGGACGCAGAACACACAGAGAGAAAGAAACATCTATGCCATGTGCGGGTTTCGAACCCAGAACCTTTCTGATGCAAGGACAGTTCCCTGCCCCCTACACAGGCCGGTCGGCGCATGTTATTGTGATAGTTTGAATAGAATTGAATAATTAATTGAATGAAAAACGAATGAATCGAGTGTTTACCACTTCTTACATTTTTAGTTGCTCGTGGCATCATGACTTCCTTGTTTTTATAAGAGATTACAAGACTTCGATTCATTACAAAAAAATTTTCCTCCTTTCACCTGCTGAATGAAAAACATTTCCCATAAACCTCAAATATTTGAGGTAACGTCAATTTTTAGAAGATCCTTCTGAAAAAAGACGCTTTTTCACCTGTCTTAAAACAACTAATTACCCGCGTGAAATATTGAAGTTATATTTCCTTATTGTCTTTTTTTCCGTTCAGGAAAATCTTTGATTACGAAATCCTTCATGAAGTTCTTTATCTGTAATTTCTTCAAAATATATAATTGATAAAAAAAATTCCATAAAGAAAAACCATGGAGACTTAGAAGTTAAATTTAATAAAGAAACAAAAATATTTACAGTAAAATATAGATTATTTGGCTATAAGGACCATAAGGCTAAGTTCGCCAACACTTAGGAATAACGCCAAATTTTGATTTACACTCGCCACCAGTTTCTGATAATTCACATGGATATATGCAAAATGTGTATTGCTATGTCGCAATCATTGTGATAAAAAGGTCAGTATCGTGATCATGAATGAACTTAAAGTAGTCAGCAGATAAATCACCAGTAGGAAGTCGTGATTTTATTGTACCGGTTTTGTATAAATCGAGTTCAAGCTCTTTTATCCATTTACGTTCCGATGGGATGCCTGCAAGTGACGTAGTGTGGGTGTCTCGTTAGCAACTGTTCTTTTGTTCTTTTTGCATGTACCATTCTATTTCGAGTAAGCCAAGATCGTCAAGTATCAGTTCTCTTAAGTGACCCATTCTATATTCTTTCACAAATATTTCAATTCTTTTACTCTATATTTCTTACTTAACACAAAGATAGACGCAAATCCATGTAGAATATAGACAAACTAATTAGGCATCGAAGCTGCCAGGTACACAAAACAAAAATATATCAAGGTTACAATGAAATTCATGAACAAATAATAAATCTAAGTAAAGTGAAAGACTTAGATAAGAAAGAATTATATTTTAATAAATTTGATGCGCGATACAGCACTATATTTAATTAACTTAAAGCTAATTAACATTCTAGCTTTTGTGGAGAAACTTAGCGCAACTTTTGCATGCCATTTTGCCTATTGCTATCAACATGAACACGCCATTTAAATTAAACAATCAGCTGGTGCTGACGCCATAGGTCACATGTGTGTATATCTGTGATCTTCTTCTTCTTCTTGAAGTGCAAGTTCCCAATTAAAATAATAATTCTCATTACAACATTAAAAATGTTAAGATGATTGAGAACAAGTCTGTAAGTGGTGCTCAGCTCTATAAACCTAGTTGAAAGAACAGGATTGGCATTAAATTACGGAAAAAAATTCGTTCTTTGTAAAAGAAGTGATAAGAACTTGCTTTTGCTTTGTTTATTGCATATTAGAAGTAGGCAAATTTATGGAAACATTTCTATATGCGTAAACAACCTCTCTTTTAGAAGCAAATATTTCGGAAGATTTTACAATTCGCACACTATGGACACAGGTTGAAAGATCACTCTGGAAGCTTTTATAAATGGGGTCATATTTACACATGCGAATTTGCATGTACTAAAATGAGCGTACGAAGTTAAAAGTGGATTTTTTTTCATTACTACTACAATTAAAAAATTCTACTATGAATATTGCAAGCCTAAAGAATTGTATCGAAATCGCTGGTATTAAGACTAAAAAGAAGGCAATAAGTTCCTTTCCTGATTTCAGTGGATTCAAATTTTGTAACAGTTAAAACTAAAAACTTTTCTAAAAGCTTCAAATATGATCTTTCAAATTCTGGAGCCAAGAGTTGAAATTGTGCCAAGAAAAGAAGAATTGTTGACATACAGTTGAGGTAAAAGTGTTTCATATTTTTGTCTAATACAGTAGGGAACCGATTATCCGGAACGATCGGGACCATCGCTATTCCGGATAACTGACTTTTCCGGTTTTCTGAATCACTACAAAAAGCCGTTTTTTTTATTGTTAAACCAAACTAAAAAATTTTTTTTGGAAATAATCTTAAAGAGGAGAAAAAACGATGAAGTAATACAGTAATGATTATTTCCAAAATGATGGTAAGGTAAACATCTTTCAAAAAAGAAAGAAAAATCCTAAAATCTTACGAGGAAAAAAATTTTTTTTTTTTAAAAAATGGCAAGAAAATTTATCGAATTTCGTTCCGGTTTTTTGGTTTTCCGGTTTTCTGATCTCCGGATAACGGGTTCTGTACTGTACCTGCATTTAATATGTTTTTTTTCTCTTAGTTTTGACGAAATGGCCGAATTCGACTTACCAGCCATGATAGACTATATTCTAGACGAAACTAAAGCAAAGAGCCTGTCTTACATTGGACACTCACAGGGAACAACAGTGGCATTTGCTCTTTTGTCCGAAAAACCTATTTATAATGAGAAGGTGACATAAGCATTTAATATCACTGTATAACAAATTTTAATGTCTTTTCCTGTCCCTTAGATTAGTTACTGTGTGATTCTGTAAAAACAAAAGTGATAGAACATCGGATCCTATAACTGAAAGTATCCTCACCTCTTTTAGGTGCACATCAGTGCACCTCATCAGATATAAGGTACCCACAACCTGGAAAAATTAAATGATGGTTGCGAATATCCTTCAGACTGCTTTAGATTTTATAAAGTTATTGATTGATTTGTTCATTTACGTCGCACTAGAGCTGCACAATGGGCTATTGGCTACGGTCTGGGAAACATCCCTGAGGATGATCAGAAGACATGCCATCACAATTTTGATCCTCTGCAGAGGGGATGGCGCCTCCGCTACGGTAGCCTGACGACCTGCAAGCGAAGTCGAGCACTTTACGGTAGAACAGTTTAACGAGGACCATTACCGCACACTCTTCGGTCCCTACGCAGACTGATCCAAGTGGTCACCCACCCGCACACTGACAGCAGTCAGTGATGCTTGACTTCGGTGATCTGCTGGGAACCGTGTCTTAACGATCAGTCCACTGCGGGACTTTAATAAAGTTAACTTCCAATTTAGTTTTGTGAAATCAGTCTCGTAGCTTTCACCCCACGGTAAAAGAAACGAAAAAATTTTTTGGCTGAAATGAATACTCCAAAGTATGTTTTCTTTTCTCTTTCAAAATATATCTACCACCTTGAAACTATTTCCAGGTTTTGCTTCGTTAAAATATATCTGATTTGTACAGGGTCAAGGTAACCTGGTCAGACTACGATTAAACAATTAAAATGAACCAGTTAATCCAGATATACAGAGATGCCAACTGCTCCGGCTTAGACAAAATATTTTAAAAAACGGAAGAGAACTACAAACAAAAATTTGCATATTTCGTTTTTTTTTTTTTTAATTTTTTGAAAAGCTCTTTTACTTATTGTTTATTATTTATTGGTACAGCATACACTTGCAGGCTTGTGTGCTCAATTAAGGCTTATAAGCCGTTGTCAAGTAGAAGGACAGATAGCACAACACAGAGAAGAAGATCACGAAGAATACATCAAGGGTTACGGCGGGATTCGAACCCGCCACCTCCACGCTTAACAGAGCGTTTGGCGGGAGACTCCGCTCGGGCAGGGAGGCCCTTGAAAGGCTCTACGTGGTTTTATGGTTATTACATACATTTGCAGGCTTGTGTGGTCAATCCAGACTTATAAGCCTCTGTCAAATAAAAAGACAGCACGAATATACATCCAGGGTAGCAGCAGGATTCGAACCCGCCACCTCCACGCTCTGCACAGCGCTTGGCGGTCTCAGCGTAGCTTAAAATGGCGTATCACATAAGCCTTCGAATTATTCAGAAATAGTGCTGAGTTATAACAACTCTTTAAATCGAAGTTTTAAACCAAGAATCTTACCACTGGAACATTATCCGATGTCCGGAGCAAGCTGGCATCTTTGCAGATATGCCAACTTGCTCCGTATTGTAACAAAATAGTTTCTCTTGGTCATGAAATTTAAGTTATTTTCGGTTTAGTATTTTTCCTTTCAAGTAATTTTTCCACCACTGCTACCAGAATCATATAAAATGCAACTTTATTGCAGTTATCTCTTGGAGACTCTTTTAAATAGAGCTATAAGTTATAAATTATCACCGATGTTATCTTTGAAATATAGGAAAATTGAATTATCTGTTAAATTCAAAAATGGCTGATGTTTAATTAATAAGAAAGTCCCAATTTGTTTTTTGCTCATCCCACTCGAAGGATTCGTTGTAGAATGTTCTAATGTTAACAGAGATCTTCCTCGTATTTAAACTAGTCCCGCAGCTGACTGATCGTTAAGACACGGTTCCCAGCAGATCACTGAAGTCAAGCATCACTGGCTGCTGTCAGTGTGTGGGTGGGTGACCACTTGAATCAGTCTGCGTAGGGATCGAGGGAGTGCGGTATGGGTCCTCGTTAAACTGTGCTACCGTAAAGTGCTCGACTTCTCGCGCAGGTCGTCGGGCTACCGAAGCGAGGGTGCCATCCCGTCCGCAGAGGATCAAAATTGTGATGGCATGTCTTCGGATCATCCTCCGGGATGTTTCCCAGACCGTCGCCAATAGCCCATTGTGCAGCTCTAGTGCGACGTAAATTAACAACAACAACGTGTTTAAACTATTTGTATGTTAAGTTTTATCAATTTCGGTTCGATGACTTAAGAGTCTATATAGGACACACACACAGACAGATAAGACAGAATTAAGAATCTCGTTCCTTTGAAAACAAGAGAATAAGATACATCAAAATCTAGGAATTTAACTTAACTGATATTTTAATGTTGTGAAAAGCGTTTCTTTTACTGTATGTTTGGGATAAACGAATCGTCATTTTCTTTGCTAAGCTCGATAGCGGCTGTTGTGTCAAATCGGGGACGCCTTGGTTTGTTGATAATTTTCTTTCTGTTTTGCAGAAATCTCATTTCTGGTTACCATAATATAAATCAGAGTTGGCCAAAAATGTAATCGATTANTAATCGATTACTGTAATCAACGGCCAACTCTGATATAAATTAATATCTTTGCTTTCAATGACGTCACCTTTGGATTACCACAACTTGTTTACGTTTATGTTATTGGTTCTTGATTTATTCGCATAAATATTCGTTTGTTTGCAAATTGACAAAAATGAGAGGGATCCCCGATTGTAAATTATTATCACTCTCTTTTTTTACTTTAGATATTCTCCTTGATTTTATTACAAATAAAAAGAAAATGCTTAATTGGTTATATTATTTAATAGTTCTGGTTTTAAATTCTCCTAGAATTTCTCTAATTAAATTGAAAGATACAAATAATTTTTAAACTTATAAATCACACTAAATTTTTTAAAACAAATATTTCATTTCATAAATTAGCTTTGTCCAGATATAACCAAAACAAATGACGTAGCGCATCAGACAGCTTAAACTATTGTTTACATAGAGAGCTACACCAACCTAAAACACTTACGCTTACTATTACTTTCATGATTATTTTTGTGACACCCCATCTCTAGTAATTGTGGCAACCATCCTTATATGTAGAAGTTAAGTTACTGATTTAATTCAGCCGTCGTTAAATTAATGCTTATAGTAATTTTCTTTCGAATTTCAGATAAATTTGTTCGTGGCATTGGCTCCAGAAGTTGAAGTTAGTCATGGTAAAGGCGTACTATCATTGAAAGTTGCAAAATATAACGAATATATGGAGGTAAAATAAAATTTTTACTATGAACTTTACTGTGAGATTTCGTTTTTATTTACATACTTTTTTTGATAAACTAGGGCCTTTTCAAGATGTTTGGAATAAATGAAGTATTTCCAAATGGTCCTGTTATGAAGTCTGTAACTAATTTGTTTTGCAACTCGAATGTATTTAATCTTTGCGAAAATTTTGTGTTTACATTATCTGGAATTGATCGAGAGCAGTTTAATAAGGTAGGTGTCATAAGTATTCTATATGTATATTTCTCTTATGTGTGCTCCGTAAAAACTCGGATATTTCTCGATCTATTGGCAAAACGATAGCTATTATTTATTTTGTTAGGCTATCTTAAGTAATAATTTAAGTAGCATTAAATAATTAGTTGCACGTTGCGTATTTATTTAGAATAATTTTGTACTTTTAGCTTTTATAGAAATAAAAACTTAGTAAGGAAATAATTAGTTAAATATATTCTTCATCCCTTTTAAAATGGCAGTAGAAATTTTAAACAATAAGAGGTCTTATGGCTCCACGTACTGTCATACCAATTACTGGTAACTGAGCTTGCCTTATACAGTAATAGAAAAAAAGAAATCAAAAATCATGTACAAGACAACTAAAAACTGCAATTTCAAAGGAAAGTTGGGCAATGCAGCAGAAATTCCACAAGAAAATTGAAAACAATACAAAGAAAGTAAAAAGATCGTGCAAGACATCCACAGAGCTGCATGAAATGGATAGTGCTTACGTATCAATGCGCGATACAGAAAAAAAGACGTAAAAACATATAGAATTAAGCTTTAATTCATGGAAACTATGGAAAAAAAAACAAAAAGCCGATTTAAGGCAACAATTGGTTTACATGTAAACGATAAAAAAAGTAATGTTTGGAAATGATGCAGTACTGTTAATAGGGCGTGCAGTCTCCTCGAACAGCTAAGACTGCTACACACTTGTTTCCCATGGATGCGATGATGGTATCGATGAGAGTTTGGGGAATACAGTTCCACTCCTCAAGAAGGGCAATCTCCAAGTCACGGAAAGTTAATGGAGGCCTTGGTCTCGCAGCAATGCGTCGCCCGAGCACGTCTTAAACATGCTCGATTGGATTCAGGTCAGGAGAGCTCGCTGGCCATTCCATACGCTGTGTTGTTTCAGCTTCCAGCATGTTCTCCACAAGACGAGCTGTATGTGGTCTGGCATTATCATCTTGTAAAACAAAGGAATCTTCAATGGCTGCTGCGTAGGGTATGACATGAGGTCTCAATATATCGCCTGCATATTTGCGGGCCGTCAAACTACCGTTCCGAATGATATGCAGGTCCGTACGTCCACCTATGCTTATTCCACCCCACACCATCCAACCAGCTCATCTGTAGAGTGACCTTTCACGAATAAAAGTGGGGTTATTTCGAGTGCCTCTTTCCCTCCACATCAAAACACGTCGGGTGTCACTCTCCAGACTGAATCGAGACTCGTCTGTAAACAATACGTGGCTCCAATCCCGTTGCTAACAATCTTGATGTTCAGCAGCCCATCTTCTGCGAGCCACACGATGGCTTGAGGTCAATGGAATGCAGACCTCCCTGATGGAGCCTATTCCGTATTGTTTGGGTGGAAACTCTTCGACCTGTTGCCACGAGAAACTGTCTTTGCAGCTGAGTAGCATTGTCTGTTCTGTTACGACGAGCTGTTAACTGTATATACCGGTCATCAGCTGCAGTTGTTGCACGTGGCCGACGACTCACATTTCCAGCCTCTTGGAATCGATTCCACAGCCTTGCAACGACATTTCTGCTGACTCCAACAGCGTCCGCCACACTGCGTTGTATTTGCCCGGATTCCAGTCTGCCGATGATGCGCCATGCTATGGATTCAGGTAAATCACGTTGTTGAGATATTTTCAAGTCACCCTTTCTCGAAAACAATAACTGAGAAATCAACTTTCTGAGTTACGGCAGTGAAACAGACGTCTCTGCTACATCCCGATTTCTGCTCTTATCTTCTTTTCTGATTTGTGACGTCATGAACTTTTATTTGCATATGAAGTTTTCTTCTTCTTTTTCCTGCTCTGTCTTACATTATAAATGATTACTTTTCTGTTACTTATCGGTGTAAATATTTGCGTAATTTCATTAAAACCATGTGCTCCCCTAATTTTTTTGAGCAGTGTATATATATATATACAAATTTTAAAAATCCGGAAAATGTTATTTATTTAACGGATTTTTTAAATCCNAACTAGATATGCATTTAGATGAGGTTTTAATATCCTTGGGCAAATTCCTCAAAAATTGTAAATAATCTTTTCCACCCAGTAAAAGGATGAAATACGCTCATATTTTAACTAGATATGCATTTAGATGAGGTTTTAATATCCTTGGGCAAATTCCTCAAAAATTGTAAATAATCTTTTCCACCCAGTAAAAGGATGAAATACGCTCATATTTTAACTAGATATGCATTTAGATGAGGTTTTAATATCCTTGGGCAAATTCCTCAAAAATTGTAAATAATCTTTTCCACCCAGTAAAAGGATGAAATACGCTCATATTTTAACTAGATATGCATTTAGATGAGGTTTTAATGTCCTTGGGCAAATTCCTTAAAAATTGTAAATAATCTTTTCCACCCAGTAAAAGGATGAAATACGCTCATATTTTAACGAGATATGCATTTAATTTTTGAAATCTATTATAAACATGCTTAGTTTGTATTTTTCACGTACGCCGTAAAAAAATCCAAATTAAATTACCGTTAAAAGTACCGCCACATTTTACCGTCAAATTCATTTTTACCATGTTATGGAACAAAAAAAAACTTATATACCGTAATTTTTACAGTAACAATTACCCTAAAATCTATGTATTTTTCTAATTAATATTACTATAAAAATTAAATATTACTATAAAAATTTTGGTGTAATATATTACGGTAGAAATCTGATTTTGCGGTAAAATTGATTATACAGATGATGCACATAAAGTGATGATACTTTATACCGTAATTCGATCCGGAATTTTTTACAGAGTACAGATTTCAAACAAATGCATTATCTTAAAAAAATAACCATAATTTCAAAGTTTTTATTTATTTCCCTCAATTAAATGAACATAAATTTTTCTTTAAATAAACTAACGTTTAACGGTAGTAACAATAACGATTTTACGAATTGATAAATAAGAATAAGATTTAATTTTAATTAGTTAATTATTTTGTGTAGCTTCAACTAACTCGAAAACATTTGTTTCTGCGTTATTCTCTATACGTATATTAATTTCAATCTTTATATCATAACTTATTTTTCGTAAATTAATTTAATTAAATGGAATTTTCTTGCTTTGTGTGCATTGAATGTTTTTTTTTCTTCTTACCCGTATAAATAAAGCCATTAATCCACTGCAGAAACAAGTGTGCACTAAACTAAAAAAAATAATATATTTCATTCTTTAGTTTTGGCTCATTATTCGTACAAAATATTTTGGTCAGGGATAATTTTTTACAGTAATCAAGTAATTAATAGGGATGTGTTTTACTATAACTAAATCGCAAAATAAAAGAATTTAGAACAATCTTATGTAACTTAATCATTCAAGTACAGAATCGTGCAATGTTGCTTCTCTGCAAAGATTGCTTTAAGGCGGGAAAACATATTTCACTTAAAATGGCAAACGATTCTCTTCTCAAAATTTATTTCTTTTTTGGCAACACGCCAGATGATTGATTTTTTTATGAATAATTATCTTCTCTTGAATATTTTCCTATCTAATTTAAGCTGTCTTCCTTTTGTACTTGAAGATTAAATAATGCAAAAACATATCTTGTTAGTAGATTAGTTTTCGATGAAGGGGAAAAAAACTTTTGCTTTACAAAATCATTAATAAATTGCTCTATTTCAGCCTTTGGCTTCTTTAAACTAGATTTTTTTTTCCTATAACTTTTTTGGCGTTATTTGTTGTGTGCTAAGAAAATTTAATCAGTTTTTCGTTTTATTTATTTTCTTTTTAAAATGCAAATTGAATTGAATATTAGTACTTTGGTTTTTATAAGTAAACGAAGATTGTTTTTTTAATCAATTGATGATAATATGAGTGGTTTGTTTTTAAAAAGTTTTTTGTAGAGTTGTTGACAGTTCTCATTAACATTGTTTGACATTAAGTTTTTTAAAAAATATGCTTAACACTTATATAATTTTATTAAATGTATTATTCTAACTTTAGATTTGTATATTCTAGTGTAAAAGGGGTTACTGTTAATTTTAACACTTTTAATATTTTTTTTAATTCAAGTGATTATGCATGATTGCATGTGAACCTTTACTCCTGTCATCTTTTAAGCCGAGTGCGTGTAAGTGCATTACATCAGATGAGGGATATATTTGGAAATACATTAAATAGAAAAACAATACTCATTTCTCAAATTATGTTTAAACGTTTCATTGTTGCAAAGACGTTCTTTTTCCTCTCTCGTTGCATGCAAGATTGTAACTGGATTTTTTTTCTTCTTTTTTTGCAGTGTGTGTTTTGTCTTTCAAATTAAACAAAATAAAATTTCATAAAAATAATATTTTCAGGAGTATTTGATGAAAAATATTTTATTTAATGTTGATTTCAGTTCCAATTTAGAAATGAAAAAAGGATAACGATTGATAAAACCTACTCCGATATTTTTAATTTATATAATTATATATATATATATATATAATACAAAAATTATAAAAATACTTTTGTATTAATAAAAACATTAAAACTCTTTCGTTTTCATAAAATGTCTTTGGTAAAGAATAGGTGTATTTTTTTGATATTCTATTTCGGGACTTCACGGCTGAAAACACACCATTGAGTTATAATTAGATTTATATTTCAAAGGAGGAGTTATTTTTAAAATCTTTCCCTCTTTCACTTCCATATTAGGAAGCATTAAATGACTATCGATGATGCGTAGAGTTACAATGTATGCACGACTTGAGCCTTTTTACCTCATTTTCTGTTAGTATATAATGCAGGAACAATCGTTTTTGTGTGTCTTTTCAGCATGATGTGATCCTGATAAACTCTGTTGGAATTGTCTGAGAGTGCTGTCCACCCCCCTCCAGTGTGGAGAATGGGTGCTAACTGTTACCACCAACAGCCTACCTTTAAAATAAAGCTATATATACCCTGCATTCAAGATACAATATGGTGTTGTACCTTGGTATACTTTGCGATTAGAACATTGGAACATAGCTCAAATCTCAGTGCGTTGGCCTGAAGCGGCATTAACAGATTCGTAGGATTTTTGAGATATATAATAGGGTTATGTGTGAAGTGGGAGAAGAATTGGGGGAGAGGAGATGCCAAGCACCAAATAGTAACGTCATGAGAGGGAAACTAGTCGGTTGAACATATGATGAAATCAACAGGAAATTAAACGCGACTGAGAATAAACTAGATTAGAATAAAATACTATTTACTGGGTAAAGAATAATATTAACATTTACGCAGCTGCAATAAAATGGAAAATAATAGAGAAAATATATACAACTATTTACATATTTGCACGAGATCGACAAAAATTTGTCAACTACAAAGAAAAGGTTGTATAAGTGATAGATTATCCGACAACTACCTTGTCTGTGACTATTACAGTGATGACCTAGGCATCCTGGTAATACCACTCGTTTCTGGGTTGCTCGTCACAGATCTTTGCAAGAATTTATCCTTTATAAAATAAAATATTTTTAATTTTATAGTGGTTACAGATTCTTTAAATGGTAATTAATAAGACATTGCTTACATTTCTGTTAGTTTTTACCCAAGTGAAAATAGAAATATTTTTTTTCAAACTGTCCCAAGGTACAACAGTGCAACACTTTTCCCTACCCCTCTTTTATTGGCAGCTTTTTGAATATTGATTTATAGGTGGCGCTGCTATTGCAAAATGAAAAAAGAGTAAAAATAGCTTAAGACATAGTGCTCGGTGTACTTCCTGCACGGGAATTTTTTTATAATCTAAATTATGCGAAATTCGCAGCCAACTTCGAGAAACAAAAAAAAATTTATCCTTGCTTTTGAAAATAAATGAATGAACATAATAATAAAATTTAATACATCGTGTGGAAAATTCGAATCGTCGAAATGCTTTTATGTCTGCTGTATCTGTGAAATAAATTATGTCTGCTGTATCTGTTTTAGGAAAACTGACAGCAAGAATTCTTTACCTTTGTCAACCTGCAAAATTCCTGGACCAGTTCTCTTTCATAGAGAGCCATCTTGGAATTGAAAAACTAACACCGCCTGTTTGTTGTTTTCCAATCTTCCAAATGGGATTAAAGGGTCATGATCAATAAATGAATCATTTAAAAAGATTTTACATGCGCATTTTGAGATTTTTGATTCATTGCTCAGTTTCTGGAATATTTCATTTTATTTATATACTATTTTACAACTCGCGTTGTAAAGCCAACTTCAAAGCCTTGAAGGAACTCCTGAATCCAATATCCTTCGTGGAGCCTTCCAGCGTTCGTGGAGCCTTTTTGATGGAACTAACAGGCATTACATGGAGAAGAAAACCATAAAATCCTCCAATGGTTTACTAGAAGGCAAGAGGAATCTAACCCATGACTGATCTACCATTGAGGATATTTTATGTCGGTGCGAGCCGGGAGCAGAATTCAAATCTACAAGCCAGTGCTGGGATCAAACCTGGGTCACCTTGCCCTCAGACTAGCCCTCTATCCCCTGTAATAGAATGATTTTGCATAGAGTTTGCCTTACGTTAACAGTAACACCAACTACATTATTTATACATTAGGGACATAACGATTTACAGCTAAATTTTCAGGCAATGAGCTCTGGAGCTCAAATAAAGTCAGCGTTGTTAATTTTTTTTCACTATCTCTCTAATCCTTTGTGCAATATAATGTATTTCTTATATGTGATTAAATTCTCAAACTCTTTTTTTTTTTTAAAGTTTCCCCCCTCTCTACCTTTTTAATTTTAATGAAATTGCATTGATTTTATTTTCAGACAAGATTGCCAGTGTACATGGCACATTATCCAAATGGCGCGTCTACGAAAAATTTCCTTCACTATTTCCAAGTAAGTATTTCAATAGTTGAAAACTAAAAGCTACCTCTACTTTTAAGGATCTCTTTAAATAAAACGTGAACAATTTTCAATTTTAAGGCGTCTATAATTCAAACTGTGGCCATAAATTTCCAAGAAAGCTCTAAAAAACACCTGAAAATGATATAAGCGGGTGGCTGACCAATTTTGTCAACCTGCGTAGGGACCGAGGGTGCGCGGTATCGGTGCTCGTCTTCGCTTCCAGGTCGTCGAACTACCAAATCAGAGGAGCCATCCTCTCTGCAGAGGATCAAAATTGCATTGGCATGTCCTCGTATCATGATGTTTCTTAGACAGTCGCCAATAACCCATTGTGCAGATATACTGCAACGGAAATTAAGTACCTACTGGCCTAATATAATAATATATTATTACTCTAATAAATTATTTTAATTATTATAGCGTCTGTCCATACTTATTCTAAATTTAATCAATATCCTTTTATTGAAATGTTTCCCAATTACTGTAATTTAAATGTCAAGTAAAATTTAGTAACTAAGAAGATATAATAAATAAAATATGATAATTTCGATTTAAATTAATACAATTTGTAAACAAAAAAACTTTTTTAAGGAAAAGAGCAACAACAAAACATTGTAAATTAAATATCAAATAGTATTTAACGATTAAAAAATAAAGTTAATAAAATAAAATAAAATTCAAATTAATACTGTTTGTAAACAAAAAAAAAAGTACAAAAAAGAGAGTAAGAAGTACGTTCACAGCACGATTCGAACCCCAAATATCTGGTTGTTAAAAGGACGCTATATAACTCGGGAGAAATTTTTCATCGCGAATTCTGTTTTTTTCAATACTTTAAATGTTAAATGACTTATGGAGATCAAAGAGAATTTGCAGTGGAAAGTTTCTCCCGTGATGAACAGGTTGCCTACCACTAGACCGCTGCGTCGTTTTCAAAATGAGGATTTACCTAGTATATTGTTGTTGTTGTTTCTGTTTATTTCTATTGCCACTTGCTATGTTTCCTTATTAAAATTTTCAAAATTTTCAATTTGAGCACTTTGAGAGCATCGTGTGGAAAGCAAATTAAATTAACAAAGGATTAACAATGCGTGTTACTGCACCAAAAACTGCAAATGATTCTTCTTTCTTTTAGATAATGTAATGAGTTACGCTTGCGAGCTTCCATTTAAAAATGTATCAAAACGAGTTCATTGGCTTAAATTCTTTTTTTTTTAAATCAAAAATGAGCTTCACTCTAAATTTTTGATATTGTGTTGCTGTTCCTATTGCTACTTGCCAATGCCAGCAAGCCTGCTTGGGAAACCAAGCGAATCTAAGGTGGAGGTTGCGCTTCTTATTTTTTTTCAGTGGAGCCATCTATGGTCAAGAATACCATTTCAGTTACACATACAAGTCATAGCCCGTTTTTACTGGCGTACCCATTCATACAACCATGTATTTATCCACGGATCATAATTTTGACTGAACCAGAGAAATATTTCTTTTCGATTCAGTACCCTCAGAGGTACTGATTTGTTGCGGGAACTTGGAAGACTTTGTGACCCCGATAGATTTACCCTGCACCAGTCACCATTTAATCCTTTGACCGGCATGATTCAAACTCCAGTTCTCAAGAACACGAGTTCGACGTCCTACCAATCAGGCTATTTTGATTACTTATAAGCATAATTCGCCACGAAAAGTTTCTCCTGAGATGAACAAGATTCCCTGCCCATAGACCACTGCGTTATTTTAAAACGTGGATTCACCCGTCATATTGTTGTTGTTGCTCTTAATGACATTTAGCTAAGTCAAGCTCGTCACAATTAGCCTTTTATGAATTAAGTCCGGAAGATGCACATTCTGTTTAACAAGAGTGCAGCGCAAGAGTGAAAGTACTACTTAGAGCAGAACCCCACGCTTTCTCAGACCACCTCCGGAATTTAAGAGATAGATCTGATGGGGAAGGAAATTTTCTCCAGATCGCTTTACTCACGGGGTACTGCTGAGCAACCGAGCTTCGGACATTCGATTCCATACATTTTACAAGCATGTATATCGCATGTACTCAGTGGGTTTATAGGAGAGTCGAGGATGGAGACCTGACCTATCCATACCCATTGTCCTGTTCTCTAATCACTGGACTACCACGGCCCTAATTAGTATATTAAGTATGCATCCATTTTCAAATGCGTTTTTCTCGGAATCGGCTGACTAGTTTGCTTCATTTTTTTAAAGGGTGAAAAACATTAAGGTGAGCTTATAATATACCAAGTTCACTCCAAAGTGAATTCTAAGTCCTTGCAAGTCTTCTTAATTCCAAACTGCCTCCCTATAAGGAAGTGCTGAAAGTAAGACTGAAAGGATAAAAAAAAGCCTGATTGTAAAACATGTTTTATTTTTGTAACTAATTTTCGAGAGGAGTATTGGGCAAAATTGTGAAATTTTGCGATTGGCCAGTGGCCAATGACGGTGACCACTTTTTCAAAAACTGAAAATTTTCATTGATGAAAAAAACTGTTGACAATGTAAGACGCATCTTTTGAAGTTTTTCTCAAACTATGGTTATATGGTTATGGTAATATAACAATACAATATGGTTATGGTAATAAAATATTATAATGCGTTTAAGGTAATATTAATTTTCAGAATATTATAAAATATTCTTATTAATTCTATATTGATTGAAAAATAAGGATATTAAAATGCGTATGAGGTGCATTTATGGCGACAAAATTGGCAGACAATTTTTTTAATCACCATTAATTAGTATTTAACTACCCTGTGACGGGTGGGGACCGCTAATTTTGATGCCAGGTTTTGCTCTTTTTTATCTTTATGTAATAATTTTCAGCCATTCTGTAGGAATGAACCGTTCCATTTCCTTTCAGTTGGAGAAAGGTAGGGAATGCGTGTCAGCATTTTTAATGAAAGAGATACAGCAGTCAGAAATAATTTTTACTATTTCACCATTTAAAATTAAGTATTAACTTTCGAATAACAAAATGCAGTTAGAAGCATTTCAATGCTTCATGTTTGCCCCACTTGGTATTAATTTTTGTTTTTCTGTAGTTGGAATTTATTTTCCACACAATTTAGATTAGAGGAAAAAGTTATGAATTTCGATAATTTTGAACGGCTCAGATTGAAAAAAAAAATTTCAATGCAGGAAGTATCTGACTGTGGATCTTACACTTAAAAAATATCATTGTAAGGCGATTTCACCTTAGTTAAAAAAATTTTAGGGAATATCGGGCAATATATAAAGATATCAGTGTAAGTAATACCGAGCAGCAATGCTTTAATAAAACGCGGGTGGGTACACGATGCATCTCCCTACCTTTCTAAACCAGCAAAAGCGAGGAGACACTCTACTTCAGATAAGGAGGCAGCTTAGGATTGAAGGATGCACGGTTTATTGAGTAGCAATCGTGCATACCGGTGGGCCAGTCTGTGTTCAGATACAGAAATGAGTTCAAAAGTAAATTTAAAACACGTTTACATTCCAGATGGCAGTATCACAAAAATTCCGAAAATATGACCACAAAAGAGAAAATAGGAAGCATTATAAACAAGTAAGTTAATAATTTCTTTCACATATTTCTCACACGTATGGTACTCATATCTAGTTGCATTTAAGAGTCTACGATGATAAGATTAAGAGTCCGCAATTAGTGTGAAATAAAGCAATTTTCATAAAATTAATTCCATATTGATTGAAATATTAATATTATTCAATTCAGACGGAAAAAAATTATATCAACATAGTGGCAGCATTGACGCTCTGTGGCTGAGAGATGCTCCCGTGAAGCAGGTCCTGAATTCAATCCTCAGACCGGGCAAGGTTGACTAATCCTTTCATCCCTTCAATGGGCCAATAAAATAAGTACCAAGCATGCTTGGGAACTAAACTCTGAGGATTTCGAGTTCGGTTGACCACCCATCCGGAACATCTACTCCTGCACCTCAGAGCCCCCAAGGTCAAGAAAATTGAGATGGGAACAGAAGGCTTTGGCCCTCTATGGGCTGCCACGCCACTGAGTCTAGTTTTAGTGCCCACATTTTCGACGAAAATGGTGGTGATTGACAGACAATTTTTAATCGCCATTTATTGCATTTACCACGTGTCTTGTGACGACCGCGAATATTGTCCACTATCAGTTTTTTTTCTTCTTTGAAACAAATAACCTGAATAACTTTTGATCTGATGATCGCATTTTCACGCTCCAAAATTTAATCTCAATGGCGTTTGGTGCTTAAATATGCTAATTTTTTGGGGCAGATGATGTTTTTAAGTTACGAAATCAAACACTAAAACGCTCGTTCTCTGAATAAAAATGCAATTTTTCGACTGACGCGAATTGCTGACTCTAAAAATATGAGGGTAGACGAATCTGAATAATATGGTCAGAGTAGCTGAAATGTTTCTTAACGTTAGTTTTACTTTTTGTTTATTTCGTCTTCTTTCAAAAGCCGTACTTTTAAATTTTTGTTCTCCTCAAGAACCATTCTTCTGATTTCCTTCAAATTTTGATCTAAGCGTAGGTAAGGCGTCGAAATTTGAACCATAGACGTATGTAAATAACGCAGACAACATTTGTGTACCTTTCTATTCAAAACGTTAGTGTATTAAATAATAAAAAATAATCTATAATTAAAAAAAATTCTTTTAATTGAATTACTTTTGATAACCAAGTCTTATAACTGCAAGCCAAAAATTCTTTTGATTCACTTTATTAATATCAGAAGTATGGTGAAGTGTGCAAATCGTGAAATTCACGCTAAGGGGCCCGAACTCTTGACCGCTATCCTGCCTAAACTACTGAGATTATGTTTTGCATATGGCTACCCTACCATATTTTAGGAGTCATTTTTTGGCTCTCGAAGCATTTAAAGAGTTATGGTACGTGAAAATACGATCATAAGATCAAAAGTAATTCAGGATGTTCGGTTCACTTATTTATTTATTTTAAACACAATACACAATTGTATACTGACCATGAAAATTTATTTAATATAGGTATAAATTAATTCATTTCAACAATCTTTACAATATTTATTTACTATAACAATTATTGAAATATTGAATTTACAATGCGGCAAAATAAGTATATTATATTATGATTATATAAACACGACGAAATATTATGATTGTGTTAGATTGGTATAAAATAATTGCAACTTTAAAAATATTTTCACTATAATATTTACACTAACTGTGTAAATATTGATGATTTATAAAATTTTTTATCCTTAAATATAAATTTAAAAAACTGTCATTAAGAAAACTAATTTTGGCTTTAAATTCTTAGCAAAAATAATTAAAGAATACATAAGAAGTGAAAAAGGGAGATTGATTTGGTAAAAAAATAAAAAGAGACCGATTAGATGTTTAACATATTTTTACAGTTTTATATTTGTGTCAGACTTAGGCTATAACGTTATTTTGCGTAGCTACATTGATTACACAATATTGCCTGTGCGTTTGTCCAGTATAGCCGCTTCCGGATCATGTGATATTAACTAACGAAAAAATAACATATCTTGCTCATATCTGAATTTTATAGTTGTGTATGATAATTTTTTGTGCAATTATTAGATTCTACAGGGCGCCTCAAAAGTAGCCCTTATTTAAAAAAAATCAATTAGTGAGGATATGTACGGTTTGCTGCCCTCTGCTTTTGAAATCAGCTTATTAATTCTTATATGTCACATGCACAGCTAACAAAATATTATAAAGCAATTTTAAAAAAGCACTGCAAAGACGCGATACATTCTGAGAGAAAAACTAACCAAGAGGTGTGAAAATATTTCTGTTGGATTGCTTTAACAAGCAGCAATAAACATTATTTAACTATCTTCCTGTCAACAGTGCAATCTGTTGACAAAATTTGTAATTATTTTTAAAAGTTTTCCTTGAAAAAAAAAGCAACGTATCATCTTATTTCATTTTTTCTGTTAGTAAAGTAAGAAACTAAAATAAAACATAAGTGTCTTCCAAGTCTACGACCACTCATTTCAAAATTATTCGCCCTAAACCACTATTTTTTTGATAAATGACGCTGAAATGCATACATATCTCTACTTCAAACGCATTATTTAGAATTCCGACTACCCAACAACCGTTTTGCAGCTTGGTGACAGCTGGCTCGAATCCCGCTGTTAGCCTGCATACATTTTTGAGATCTATATCTTGTACTAGCCGCCTATATAATGAGTACTCAAACCTGCATACGCATGGGTTGTTACACTTATAAAGTAAATAAGAATTGCTTTAAATAGGGTTGCAGTTACTAACGCGATTTTTGGCATAAATCTGAAATTCTCAATAATTTACTAAATATTTGGCTTAAATTTTCAAAACGCGTGTCCAGTCCAAGCATTCAGCATAGGAACTCTCAAACAAAACTTGTCAGAGCACCAATCAAGACGGAATATTTTCCATTGCCGATTTAAAGTGACCAAAAATGGATTATACTGATAATTTCTACACCATCCAAGCTTTCTCGGGATAATAACTAATTGCGATATATACACGAACCCACAGGATGATCGGGTAAATATTTAAAGAGTAGCTTCTGGAGAAAAACACAGCCAACCGTACATTTCTATTACCATCTGTTCAAATCTAATGACATTTCTGAAAAAACCTGTAAATATCATTTCATATGTATACACTGTCTATCTAAAGAACTCCCCGTCTAGACCACTGTCGTTACTATTTTAAAACCATTTCAAGTAGGGGTCATTTCTGAAAAAACCTGTAAATATCATTTCATATGTATACACTGTCTATCTAAAGAACTCCCCGTCTAGACCACTGTCGTTACTATTTTAAAACCATTTCAAGTGGGGGTCATTTCTGAAAAAACCTGTAAATATCTTTTCATATGTATACACTGTCTATCTAAAGAAATCCCCGTCTAGAGCACTGTCGTTACTATGATAAAACCATTTCAAGTAGGGGTCATTTCTGAAAAAACCTGTAAATATCTTTTCATATGTATACACTGTCTATCTAAGGAACTCCCCGTCTAGAGCACTGTCGTTACTATGGTAAAACCATAGTAACGATAGTAAGTGAGTGGGTGACCACTTTGATCAGCCTGCATTGGGACGGAGCGTGCGTGGTATCGGTCTTCGTTAAACTGTTCTATCGTAAAGTGCTCGACTTCGAGAGCAAGTCGTCGGGCTACCAAAGAAGAGGAGCCATCCCCCTTCCAGAGGATCAAAATTGCAGTGACAGGTCTTTGGATCCTTAGAGATGTTTCCCAGACCGCCGCCCATAGCCCATTGTGCAGCTCCAAGTGCGACATAAATAAATTACCAAAGTACCCTGTTTCCATAGTAGCAGACAACTCTTTGACTCTCTAGACTCTGTGACGGGAGGAGTTCTTTGATAGAAGCACAACAAATCCATAATTACTTATTTATTACTAGGATACTCCTCCAGAATATGATGTATCGAAAATAAAAACACCTACTGCTATTTTTTGGGGAATGAACGATGCTCTACTGGATCCAGAGGACATCAGTATTTTGGAAAAGAAGTTAAAGTCATCATTAATTTACAGTTATTGCATCCCCTGGAAGGATTTTAATCACATTGACTTCCTGATTGCTAAAGATGCTCGTGAACTTGTATACGACCACATATTGAATTTGTTGAGAAATATAAATGCAGATGGACGCAAACTAAAGCTAGATAATTTTTTCTCTAACCGAGAATTATGTCAATGAAATTGTTTTTAGAAAGATTTCTAAAAGTAAATATTTGTAAATTCGAACATTTTCTTAAATAATAAAAACCAGCGATCCTAACTTATGCAGTTGGGATAAACACTATTGGAAAATTGTTTCTATTATTATCTGTCAGTGAAATTGGACTAAATGCGCTATTTTTCTTTTCAGTATCAAAGTCAGTAAAAATTTCTTCCGAAATATCGTCCGTAATTAAAGAATTCTTAAGAATAAACATATTACAATAATTTTCGCCAAAGTTTTCAATCTGAACTTCACCAAAAATATTCAAAATATCGTTCATTTGAATTAGTTCGGATGATTTAAAATTTTTAATTCCTTTCCTTTCTTTTTTTTTAAATTTATGACAAATTGAAATCCTGGAAAATTCAAAATTTTATTTCTGTTTAAGGGGGACTAATTTTTTAAAAGTAGCAATTAAGCCAACAGTTTACTTTTGTTTGCCTTACTCATTTTTATTGACTTTGAAACTGTCTCAGTATCTTTTAAGCACTTAATGGACAGAGCTAAAAATAACTGGACCAACCTGAATAACATTTGATCTAATAATCGGATTTTGACATTCTAGGATTCAATCTTAATGGTTCGAGTGGAGGACCTCAATGATATGCTAATTGATAAATGCAGACGTTATTTTTTTTTAATAAGCATACCTTTTATCCCTCGAATTCGGATTTCTGATCCATAAGATATAGGGGGTAGTGGCAATTTGGGAAATATGTCCCCATTTGTTTGGTCAGGAGAGCGATCCAAAGTCTAGACCCCTTATTGTTAATTTTACTTTTTACGTATTTCGCTGTATCTCGAAAACATTTTAAGCTAATTAAAAAAAATTTGCACACAATTATACAATTCGTTTGTCCAAAGGTAATTCCATGTAAAAAAAAATTTAGTAAATGTTTATTATTACTTTATTAATGGTGGTCAAAAAAATTTTGAAATGTAAGCTATACAATTTTTTGCATCACTTCAAAGAATATAATATTGTATGGCGAAATACAAAATTTGAGCAAACTCGATCGAATAGTTTGCTAGAAATCGAATTTTAAATGTTTGACTTTTTTGAAATTTAACTTCTCAGGAACTATTTTGGGGGTAATTTTGGGGGTCAGAAATACGAATCCCACAAAAAAAACGCTATGTATATTCACAGGAAGTATACTTTTGTGTCTGACTTCGTAACTTAAAATATCATTTGCACTTAATTAGCATATTTGAGATAACTCCCTCGAACCAATAAGACTGAGTCCCAGAACGTGAAGATCCGTTCATTGGATCAAAAGTTATTCAGGGTGGTCCATTTTTTTTCGCACTGTTCATATAACAAGCATTATTATTAACAAAAAGAGAAAAATTTTGTTTACTTTATAAAATTGGTAAATATAAATAAAAAAATAACAAAATCTTTCTATAAAAAAATAATGTGCAGAAAAGACTTACCGATTTTCGGTTACTTTATGTGAATATGATGAAAAATATAATGATAAATATGAAAATATGAAATAAATATGAAAAATACTGTCACCACTGTTAGAAATATTAACACACACACAAAAAGTATTAGCACAACAGCAACTGTGTTGTTGTTTCCAGTCCTAGATGGTGCAACTAAGCTACACCATCTCCATAAAACCGAAAATCTCTAAAAAGTCTAAAAAACAAATATGAATCCCTTAAAATCTGGGGAACAGTAAAACCTAAGCAATTGAGAATATGATTGGGGGAGGCCTGATTAGCCTTGCACCAATGACATTTCGGAAAGAGTTCCCCTCCCCCCTGCTGGAAAGTAACTTATTTGATGTGGCTACTCAAAAAGCGTACGAGAGCCGCCAGTCTTTTCATCGAAAAACTGAGTTGGTGACATCATCCATCGAGATCTTATTAGAAGTACCAAGAATGAGCAGGTGGAACTCCCCTAAGTGCATTTAGTTCCATCCATTTGAGTGAGGAGGATTCAGTGAAAGTTAAGTTCGCATTTCCATGCAGGATGTCAACAGAAGCAGTCTTGACCACACTATCGGCAATTTTCTTACGCACCAAACCAACATAGCAGGGATCCATTGAACGCATATAAACTGCCAATCAGAAAGCCGAACCATAAGATCCGTATGGAAATACGACTATCCTTGAAGTCAATTTCATTGAACACGTCAATATAGTGGGCATGTAAATGATGTCCAGCAATGATCTGGCATTCGGAGCTTAGTCAGACTTCTCCCTTTGGTGCCCCAGGTCCACAGATTAATTGAATTTGCTCCCATCCCACTACCATAAAACCATAAACAATAACTGTAACATTAGCATAGTTTCTGCGAAGTAAACTACTTGATGATCAACACAAAAACTAGGATAACTATGAGGAGAAAAAAAATGATTTTAGGAGTTCAAAAAAAGGAAGTATGCTTTCAATATCAGATTCAACATCATAGATAATTAAAAAAAAACACTTTTTTTGAGCCTGTCAATATTTCAATATTAGAGACCACATAATGGTTCCAGGAGGTTTGACAAACTCCAATTTCTAATGAAGTACCCTAAGGGAATTATGCAATCCTTATGATTCAATGAACCTTTTCATGAATTGAAAGCCTGTGTATGTCAAGACGGAGAGGAGCAAAAGCGGGTACGAAAAACTTTTTATTCTAGCCTTTTTTTTCTTCGAGAAAAATAAAATATCTATAACTATCAAGATTTTTTTACAACTACATTCTACACTTTAAACTGCTTCGTTGACTACAATAAGTAGATGTTAATAAATAGTTTTTAAAAAAAAGAACAGAGTTACTTCTCGCAAAGACTAGCTATGAGTCAAATGGTTTTACTACCAAATCCTCTTTTACGTCCTACTTTCAGCCTTGGAGCATATCAAACGTTTACGCCTTTCAATTAATTTTTTTCCTAGAGATATTGAAATACTAGTTCGAAGGAGAATATGAGTAGACATTTGACTGACATTCCGCTAAATATTAAGACACAATACCGAACTGAGTATGAATATTTGGGTGCCCGAGACTGCTCACCCTTTAGCCATTTATCAGAGACGTTTCAAATGTAGTTTAATTAACACGATAGACATGTCCTTCGTCACAAAATCGTGAAATCATCTATTGCCGCATATTACTTTGAACATAAATTTATAACACCCAAATTCTCTCCACCCCTGTCACAGCAGCTAATCTTGACAAGGGCGAATCTTGTTTCATTCGTATGAATGCCGATTAAATATTTTAAAAAACTATAACATTTAGGTTCTAATTTCTAAACAAATTTGCCGACAAATTTTTATAAAATTTCACCACACGATTATTGCTTGATATTTTTTCTACCAAAATCATATTTTCTACAATCTTGAAATCAGAAAGTGGTTGTTTACAAAATTGACAAATTTAGAGCCTTGGTGGCTTTGGGGATAGAGCGGTCATCTGCCAGCGAGGTAAACCGGATTCAAATTCCAGCGATGCGAATTCCGCACCCAGCTCACACCGACCACAGTGCTGACGTAAAATATCTGTGGTAGACGGATCACGCGTTTGAGTTCCCTTTCTGTCAGGAGGATTTCTTGATTTTCCTCTTCATCTAACGGAAATGCGGGCTAGTTCCATCAAAAAAGTCCCTCGACGAAGGCAAAATTTCTCCCAATGCTTGATCCACGAGTTCCCTTGCCTTCTGGATTTAGTTTAAAATTAAAAAGCTACGGAGTTGAACATCGGTAGTCGTAAACCCTAAATTGGGTCGACTGTTCAACGACGGTAATAAAATAGTAAAGATGGACGAAATTAGAGCAGAAACATTTGAAGTAACACGAATATTGTTTTCAAATAAACTTAATTTCTATTTAAAAAATCAGTTACTTATCCCCCCCACTTTTATACTACTTCTTGTCCACGTAATTGGTAAAAAAAAAGGCTTGGAAAGCTAAATTTTCGTTCTTAAATAAATTTTCTTAGGGAAAAAAATTTTGTTATCTAGTTATTTTTTTACTCTATTGACACTTTTCAAAGAGTTATCTCAGATCTCAGATATTTTTATAATGGTAGCTCAAACACGAAATTTCAAAAAAGAGCTTGATTAAAGAATTTAAAGATATCTCTTTGATATTAGTAATGCTACCGTCATCAAATTTTGAATACTCGTTTGCCACTTTTGAAGAATACTACGTAGTGGTGGTGGTGGTCTCATAATATTTTGAAACTTCGATTTTTGCTCCAGCCTTTCCACCACAATTAAAAATTTTCTCTGAGACAGGTTTGAACCCTCTTTTAATTTTTCGCTGGAGACAATAATTTCCGTCATAAACTTAAATATAATCAGAACAAACTTTCATATGCAAAAAAGTTAAGAAGCAATTTTATTTCATTTACTGCCTTGGCATTGGTGTGCCTGACAAGGCTCTTCCCAAAGCATACACGTAATTATTCTGTAGAACGTTAAATAAATAACTTGATACATTGGTTCTGTAAGCATCTTGAATGACCTTCAAATACTTGTTAAGAGGAGCTGGCAGACTGGAAAAAGTAGGAGTGATTTGACCGAGACGATCAACTCTAAATTTTTGAACTGATCCTAAATAGTTTTGGGGTCTTCCTGTTACTTCCAAAGTCATGAGAGTTTCAGCAACGTGGCCCATATTTCTTGGTGTGTAGATGTAGCTTCCATTCCTTATAATAACTTTGTAGGCTGTAGTAATTTGTGTCAAACGGAGAGTGCAGTTGATGGAAATTTCTCCACGGAACAATTTTGGCCCTGAGCAATCACCTTTCCTCTCCAATCTGCCCAAGTTTGTTGCGTTTCCGTTTGAGAATACAGCCTCTCCTTGATTTTGGTAGATACCTTGTGGTCCAAAGTAAGTGTTGAATCCTGGTAAAGGTGCTGGATCCAATCCAACAGATCGAAGTGCTTGAGGCAATTGAGTTCGAAGAACATTATCAATATATTGGTTGGCACTTCTGCCTGCTAGCGCCACTCCTGCAAATAAATGAAAAGCCTTTAAGTTTGAATAGCCCATATATAAAACTAAAATGTGTGAAATAAACTTTACTGTAAGAGAAAAGGATTTGAATCGAAACAAAGTGAGTTATTTTGCTTGGTGAAAGAGCTTCGAAAAACACTGTTAAAAGAACACTAGGAACAAATGGGTCAAAAAACACGCATGCTGTTGGAACTGTCTCACATCAAACAGAAATCATCGGTTGTCAGTCTTGAGCGTCATCTGTTGATGAACTTGGTAACTAATTTTAAAATTCAGTGAGTATACAACTGGTTTCCTAAGCAGTAAAGTGTAGATTTCTATATCGTTTAAATCATCAGTTATTTTCAGGGCTTCCTATAATTTCTTGCATTATAATACTGTATTGATCGTTTAGGGAAACGAATTTGAATCGAGGCAAATTGATTGCTTGATAGCGAAAATGATTGAAAATACATGATTACTATAATTTAGCAAAGGAAGTTAGATCGGCGCTGGCTCACTGTAGATTAGCAAAGTAAATTGAACCTATACAAGATTACTACATTCAGGCAAAGGAAGTTGAACCAGTTCAAGACTACTATACTTAGACAAATGAGGTGAAGTGCGACGTTAATGGACATTTAATTAACGTCACACTAGAGCTGCACAATGGGCTATTGGCGACGGTCTGGGAAACATCCCTGAAGAAGATCCGAAGACATGCCATCCCAATTTTGATCCTCTGCAGAGGGGATGGCTCCCCTACTTTAGTAGCCCGACGACCTACGCGTGAAGTCGAGCACTTTACGGTGGAACTGCTTAACGAGAACCGATGCCGCACCCCCTCGGTCCCTACGCAGGCTGATCAAAGTGGTCACCCACCCGTTTACTGACCGCAGCCACTGATGCTTTACTTGTGTGTTCTACTGGGAACCACGTCCTTACGATCACCTTAGGCAAATGAAATTAACCTAATTCCAAATTACTATATTTTGGCAAATAAAGTTACTTCAGTGACGGCTTACTACATGGTGGCAAAGGAAGTTAAACTAGTTCAAAAATTACTATATTTAGGCAAAGTAAGTTAAATTAATGCAAGAGTACTATATTTTGGCAAAGTAATTGGTTCATTTCAAGGTTCGACAAAAGAAATTGCATCATTGCAAAGTAAGTATGTTTGAACAAAAATTGTTGAACGAGAGCACGATTTTTTAATTAACACGACAGTGTTTTTCTTTCCTCCTCGTTTAAATATTATTTTGAAAGCATAATGTGTTGACTGTATTGACACAATTCTCAACAAGGTTTTTAAAAGTATATATTAAAGATAATTATTACGAAACACCCTCTTTATCTAAATGTTTGCTCAGTTGCTATATTCCAAACACAAAATTTTTCTGATAAAAAATCATAATTCATTTCCTCTAATATTATTCTAATATATTTTATTAAGATATCTCAATAATATACTTTACCTCTCGGTTATATTTTATTTCAAAGATATATCTGATACATTTTGTTTTAAAGTTAAGCATATATACATTTGAAAATGGTATTTTTTTAAACATTAATATTTTAATTTCTTAATTCAACAATAAATGAAAGTTTTAATCTTGTGTTGAGGATTGTTGTTTAATGTTATATAATGTGCCGATTAATCTTTAAAAAACTAGTTTTTTTTAATACTTTTTATATGAATTTCAAAAAACACTGAGGACATGAAAATACTAAAAAATAATTTTGAAAAATTATGACTTGTTGAAATGTTTTGCTGCAGTAGCAACACTGCAGATCCAATTTCAACATATGATGTGCAATAATCAATATATTAATTAAGTAGATTTATTAATAATTTCCGAAAGCCATATTTTCCCAGTATTATTACATTGATAGCTGTTAACCCTACGATGCAGAATTTTCATTAAACATATTTTTTATACATTTTCATTAGTTTGCAGAATTCGTATCGACCAGCAAACAATGGAATTCGAACCCGGGTTCATAGGGAGGCGAGTTCTCAATCCCCTGAGCCATCAAAGCTGCAAAACATATTTTTGACTATTTTGAAGTATTTATCAAATTATAAATTATCAAAAATTTTAACTTTTAGCTTGACGATATCATCTGATTTTGTTAATTCTGTTGTGTTCATTTTCATAAATACACATTTCGAGTTGTGTCCGTTTTCTTAAATACACATTTTGAGTTATGATCATCTTCTTAAATACGCATATTGAGTCATGATCATCTTCTTAAATACACATATTAATTTATGATCATCTTCTTAAATACACATATTGAGTTATGATCATCTTCTTAAATGCACCTATTGAGTTATTATCATCTTAAATGCACATATCGAGTTATGATAATCTTCTTAAATATACATATTGAGTTATGATCATCTTCTTAAATACACATATAGAGCTATATCAAAAAACAAAAAGCTCACTGGTGACCTTTCAAGCTGGAATTTATCATTTCTAACAGAAAAAATAATGCGTTTTAGGTGGGATTTAAAACCACTAACCAAAATAAAACCTATTAAGCCAAAATTATATTATTAAGCTATTATAATTAAGCTAATAATATTTAAATAATTATTTAAGCTAATTATAAAATTATATTATTAATTATTAAGCTAACCAAAATAAATCCGCTTAATAATACCTATTAAGCGGATTTTAATCTAAGATGATTGGTAGTTTTCTTATTCAAATTTTTTAAAAAGTTAAATACTTCAAATTTAACTATTAAAACTTATTTTTCAAATTAAACAGTGTTTTAAGGTTTTTGATAAGGTTAATAACTTACCGCACATAAAGCACAAAAAAACTATTTTTCCAATCATGTTGATTGTTTCAGAGCACTCTGAAATTTAAAAAAAAAAATAAACATAATTTATAATATCTTTTAGAAAGAACACCAATACAATAATTACTAGAATTGTTGGTTAAAATAAGTGAGAAAATAACGAAGAAGCGATACTTAATAGAGAGAAGAAAATTATTAATGAACTATGCGTTTGCGTAGTGCAAAAGCTACCTCAGTTTTAATTTCAAAGAAGAAAATTGGTAAAAATAGAGTACATTAAAAAATCCGAATTCGAAACAGGAAGATAAACATAACTTTTGAAGAAGCTCTGAGGATAGGAAAAACAATTTCTAAAATCAAAAACAAGACAATTATTCGTTTTAAAAATCATGTGTTATGTCTGAGTCGTGCAAATTTTGAAACTTGTTATGCACTGTTGACTTTTTTTTTCATAATTACTCTCACTATACAATTTTGTTTTGATTACTTGAGCCTTAGCATTTTATCCCCCAAACAAAGTTTACACAGAATTTTATCTAAGTATTTATTAGTAAATGTAATAATATAAATTATTTAATTACTTTAAAATTAATTCAAAATTTAACCTAAGCAACAGAACAAAATTTAAATTCAAACATAAAAATGTTTTGCCGAGAAAAGAAATAAAACATCATTTCCTACAAGTTTTGGTTAACTGAATTACTTAAAGCAAGATTTTTTTTTAACTTAAGACATAAAATAATACAAAAATTAATGACAGTATTAATCTGAAGTCGAAACACTCCTTAACACTTTTCCTGCCGGACTCTTATTTTGTACTAATGGAAAAAGTGCCTTTATAAAAAACGTAGTATCAGGTATACAAGTAAATTAAATGGAAATTTTCTTCAGTTAGCTACCAATTTTGTTCAAAAAAATGCAGCTACTGTTTGATTTCAGAACAAAATATATATCATATGATATACAATTTTATTTAATTAATAAATTTTGGTTGATAAGAATATTTAGTTCTTCCAATTGAAAGTGTAAGAATGAAAGATATGAGTTCCCAGTCTTTAACATTTTGAAGAAGCAACATGTTCTAAAAATGGAACATAGACGTTTAAGAGGTCCACTGCAGGGCATTGAGTTATGAAAGTGAGATAGAAATTTCCACTAGAAGTTCCTGGGAAGGCGGCGCTGACATAAGCAGTGTTTTTATTTTAAAAAAACTGCTTAAAACTAAAAATGGTGACAAAATTGTTTTATGTTTTTTTTTCTACTTCTCAGTGAATAGATCCTTGACTACCACGACTCATGAAAACTGGAAGATCATAGATATTTTTTTTTTAAAAATCTATCATATAAGCCTATTTCTAGAAAAAAATTAATAATTTTTTTGAGAAACTTAAAACATTTTGTTACAAATACTATTTACTACTATTTAGTTCAAAAACATTATATAAAATCACATTCCTCCTCATCTTGTTTCGATTTATTAAAACGATTTTATTTGAAAAGAGTGGTGGCAAACTAGACCAAATGCCACTTCAGACCAGTGAATTCAACTGTCTGACATAAAACCCAATTTATACATGTATTATGATCAAATTAAGAACTAGACCAGATGCCACTTCAGATCTGTGAACTCAACTGTCTGACATAAAACCCAATTTATACATGTATTATGATCAAATTAAGAACTAGACCAGATGCCACTTCAGACATGTGAATTCAACTGTCTGACATAAAACCTAATTTATACATGTATTATAATCAAATTAAAAACTAGACCAGATGCCACTTCAGACATGTGAATTCAACTGTCTGACATAAAACCCAATTTATACATGTATTATAATCAAATTAAGAACTAGACCAGATGCCACTTCAGACATGTGAATTCANAATGAAAAGAATTCACTTTGTAAAAAGCTATTGAGTGAGTTGGGCGATTTTTATTCAACTGCTCTTTTGCGATTCAATATACTAATTGATTATGGCGAGATTTTTCTCGAGATTTTTCAGGTACATTCGTAAAAAAATGTAAGTAACATATATTTTGTTTATTCAATTTTATCAACTAAGAAATAAAGCTAAAAATTATATCTATTACTTCAAGCTTAAATCTTTTTAATGCTGCTCATACAATATGCCAGTCCAGTTTTAATTTTTCATAAGAGAACTAAAATTTTTCATAAAAGAACTAAATTATTTCTTCGAAATAAAAATTTAGAGCAAAGTTAAGCATCTCCCATCGCCATTAATTATCATCACAGCTCCAAAAAAGTTATTGGTACTAGTTTAAACTTACTTATTTTGGAAGAAATTTATTTTAATGTGTTATTCCTTTAAACGTTGATATATTATTTTTAAATATAAATATGTATGTATATATCATTACTGTGTTATAACTAATTGCAAATATGATTTGTTTTTCATTAAAATCGTGTCCTAAATATTAAAAAGGAATATGGATATCTTAAATCATTAAAATATCTATTGCTATTATTGTTACTGCAGAAATAAACTTTATTTTAAGATTAATTTGTTTTCAAATAATAGCTGAATTTTCGTTTAATAACAGGAAATCGAATGGTGTTCCTAAAAAAGGAGCAAGAAGGAATTGTACTGCCAGAGAGGAGGAGCCAGAGATTTGTTGTAGAATTGGAAGTGCACTCATAGCTCCTTCCGAATTGTGTTGTTTTGATATGGATGAAGTGAAAAACTTTGATGGCGCCAAACATATTGAGTTTGGCGGAGAGGAGGGGCCAGAGTTTGCTTATAGAATTGGAAGTGCATGCATAGCTCCTTCTGAAATGAACAATTTGAATTTGGATGAAGCCAAAACATTTGGTGGTGAGAAAGGCAGTGATTTTGGTGATGAGTTGGAGCCAAGCCTTTGCTATAGAATTGGAAGTGCTCGTATAGATCATTCCAAAATGTACTGCTTGAATATTGATGGTGAAAACAAATTTGATGTAGCCATAGATAGCGACTTTGTTGAAGGAGAGGAGTTAAAGATTTCTAATCGAATTGCTGGCATGGCTTCATCAAAGATGTATATTTCTATGGTGTGAATTTGAAAAGAAATGGCTGACATCAAATGACTGATACTAAAAATGACGATGACATTTAAAATGACTGATGTTAAAAATGACTGATGTTAAAAATGACTATGACTTTGACAATAAAAATGATTTTAAAAAATGACTGATACTAAAAGTGAGTTTGTAATTGAAAAAAAAATTTACCATCTTAAAAAAAAAAAAAAAAAAAAAAAAAAAAAANAAAAAAAAAAAAAAAAAAAAAAACCAGGGCGATGTCCATCGAGTGTAATAATATTATTTTATGCAGCATGCTAATCCCAGCGGAATAGCTTTTTGTAAACTATTTCGTTGGAATACACTCGTAAAGCTCCCACAAAATGACATCTGTGCTGACCCTCACCTCCACGTGGTATCGCTTGGGCAACGGTTTATCCGGCTAACGAGGGCAGCGGACGTGGGAGCACATGTAATATGCTAAAGAATTCAACTATTCTACCAACTGATATTATCAAAACAACAACTAAATTCTAAAATAAGGAATGTTCAAGTTAAGGAAAGGAGCACAAATAAGTCACATTTAAAAGCAAGCCGATTGGAGAAACTTTCACACGAGTGCAAAATCTCTAAATTTATCTAATTACCGATACACCTTTTAGTGTGAAAATTAACCAGTCTTTAATTTTCAAATTTAAAAAAGTATCTGTGATTTTCGCCAAAACCGACTTCTTAGTCAAGAATTTCTTATGACCCACCTTTCAAGAAGAAGGAACTTTCGGAATTAAGACTTTAAATCCATCACAAATGACCGTGCACTAAAAAAAAACGGGAAAATAGGTTTTTTTTTTAATGGTGCCATTAAAGAAAAACCAAGTACCCGCCATTAAAAAAAACGGAAAAATAGGTTTTTTTAAATGGCGGGTACTTGGGGTTTGTCCCATTGGTCACAGAAATGCCAGAACTGCTACTCTCTTCTCGTTACTCAGTGGGCACCTGTGGCGAAGCCACGGCTGTGGAGCAGCGTCACCCACGTCACATAGCCACAAACCCGTTTATAGGGCGGGTCACATTCACACAGAGAGGAAAGGACATAGAACACAGAGAGAAAGAATCATCCATGCCCTGAGCAGGATTCGAACCCGCGGCCAATGGCTCCGCAGTCAGACACGCTAACCACTCGGCCACGAAAAAATAGGTAAAAGCTCAAGACAATAATGAAACTTAAATTCGTAAGAGAATTATAGGATGCATAAATCAATAGAAACTGCAGAAGTATTTTTGAAAATAAAACTTTGAAAAAGTTTTGAAACCTAAACTTTGAATTTTTATAATAATATGTTTTTGCTCATTTAAAAGAATAATTATTTTTAGTGTTCGCTTCTTTTTGTGCATTATATAACGGAAGTAGTGATTAAATAATACGATTGTACTTTAAAATCTTCATTCAACTTGTATTTTAAATATGAAAGCTTTTAATATAAAAGTATTAAAAAAAAGTCTTTGCAACTATTAATTTAAGATTAAATTGAGTATACTTATGTAGGACGTATAATGAGTTTATTCCCGTCTAAAAAGAGGATAGTATACCTGTATACTTTGAAAGACGTAGACTGAAGCGAAAATGTGTATTAAGTGCAAATAAAGCAAAGAATTGGTCATACTACAGTTTCAGTTTCCGAAACAAGAACACTGAGTAAAGTTACGGTTAGACAATGAGGGAGGTTTGAACTTAGAAAACTGAAACTCTAATTTGTCTATATCTGTATTTAATTTGTACTGTCTTATCTGTTTTGTTTGTCTTATCTGTATTTAATTTACATAAATAATGTAATTTTACATGGCAAAATAGAAAAAATTGAGGGAAATCAATCGAACAGTTCCTGAGAAATCAAATTTTAAAGAAGCCGTATTTTCAAAGTTCCATACTTAAAATCATTATATTTAGAATTTTATAGAAAAATAATAAATCTCTACGACATTTCGATAATAGAACTTCAAAAATAGTTAGCAATATATAGGAAAACAAACAGCAAAAGCATTGTTGATTTGAAATATAGAAACATTGACAGTTATTTTGAATTCTTTTGGATGCAATGCTGTTTATTGCTGTAGAG